CTCACCCCTCTTAATGCAAATACATAAAGCTACTTGAGAAAAAAGAACGCTTTTTTCCACACTTAGATTGATAACTCATCTGCCCTGTTTGAAGTCATGGAGGCTTCTTTTTTTCTCTGGTGGGGGTATTACAGAATATTTATTCATATTCGTAAAATTGTAATTTAGAGCTTATGAGTGGCCATTGGAGACAAGTGGGAACCTGGAAAATACTATTTGAGCTTCTTAGGAGGCAGGTGCAAAGTGGACTAATTAATAGCAATCTATATACTAGCCAGGGCACACAGAGGGCCAACTGAGACTCTCTCAGGTCCGGCAATGAAAAGATAGCAGCTCCAAATTCATTTTCTCACTGTAGCTCTCCCAAAGGAAAGCGGCAAAGTACACTCACACTTCCTTTAATGCATTCACTGGGGTGTGATTTATTTCTGCGTTTGCCAGCGCATTTGGAAAGTTCATTACCTTGCTCATGGCTTGTTAATTAGCCTTGTAAAGCCAGCATTAGATCCTCTCAGGCCAGGACTTTTGTCCCAAAACATTAACATTGCCCATTAATGTTGTAAGGTGTACATCTTGGTGGATACATGAAAAATGGAAAGCAGAATCCTACCAAAGTCAAATGGGTTCAGAGATATTTTTTTTCTTTCCTATCTGTTTACTTTTTATCGGAAATCTTTATCACTTATTTATTAAAGCATGGCAAGATATGCAATTTCTCGACATGTGCTTCTTGTTTTTGCTTAATCCAAAGTGTTAGGGTGTAGAGAACAGTTCTGTAAAGACTAAGGCTCCAAAAGGTGAGCACCAGTACAATCCTCCACTTGTGGGTTGGTGACAATGTTCTGTGGAGACTAAACTCCAAGACAGTGTATTGATGCTGCTGCAACAACCAATGCAAAAGTTGTTTTGTCCTGCAAAGTGTTGAGCAGGAATTTTTATTGGAACTTATTAAAGCAGAAGATGAGACAATTTCACAACATCAAAAACAGGAAGCCATGGTGCTTTATTTTTAGACCAGCTGCCTCTATTGGGGCCTGGCAGGTACAGGAGGTGTCACATCTGTTGAGGCCCAGGTGATACTCCAGCCCTCTGCTCCTCCCTACTCCTTGCCCGCTCCCCACCAGTCAAATGACTTGCGATGAAGATCAACAGTGTCATTGTTAATAAACTCTTCTTCCTATTCCTGCCACTTTCGTTCAGTCCTGTTGATAGGTTCTTGCTAGTAGCCATTTCGTTTCACAACACAGTGAAATGAGGAATGCATAATGTTAAAGATGTAAAGAAGATGAATGCACTGTCTAATGCCAAGGCATTCAGAGGAATAATTGGAAGATTGAAGCTACCTGACTAGTTTAGAATGTTGTGTTCTATACACAGGTGTAAGTATAAATGTCTACTGAAGGCCAATGCATTTCCATCTGTGCTTTCTGTAGACATTTGTCAAAATACCAGTAATGAAGTTAAAAATCACTCTGTTATTTAAGTTATTATTTAAAGCTGCTTTATGGATTGTATTCTTAAACAGCAGCATTTTTTTTTCTATTTTTAGAGATATGACAGTTTATTGACCATTTTACCAAAACTTGAAAGCCTAGCAATGTAATTTTATATTCTTCATACTTTTAGTTATTAAGAGCATGGTGTTTGTGCTAACGCATGAACCATCAACTTTTTAAACAGATACATATAAAATTATTGCAAGTCCAAACTGATACATTTTAACTGAGATGGAGAGATATGTGGCATTTTAACGGCTGCACCTTGGTTTCCTTTTTTTTTTTTTGCTGTTTTTTCTTTCATTTGCAGTTGCTGCTAAGTGAACACATCTATCTGACGTCTAATCTAGATCTTTTCTATGGAAAAAAAAATTGTGTATATTTTTGTTCTTGTATAGGATCTCAGTTATCTCAAGGTCTCAATTAGCCCATGGAACCAACATAGTTGTTTCCTTTAACATGTTTTTAATTTAGGTTAGCTTTAAAATTCAAATCATTTGTATAATCCTGCAGTTTTTCTTTACTTTGTTGTGTTTTGTTAACCTTAGTAAGAAACAAGTCTCTATGGAAACTCTCAAGTCCAAGTACTGGGTGCATAATTGAAAAACAAATAAAGCAAACATAAAATCTCAATTTTGCTGATACTGAAAAAAATTGTTGATTTCTTAAATCAACATTAAAGGTACATTTTTTTCCCCACATCCCATTTAAAGCTGCAGTCTGTAACATTGAGAAGAGAGCAGACTTCGACTGAAAATTTGAAGAAAAACAGGTTTCACGTCACTCCCCCACCCTCTCTGCTTCACTCATGCCCCACCTCCAAGCTCCACCTCTCTCACAGCACCTGCGCGGCTTCCGCATGCGACCAGAAGCGTCCAAGCAGCGTAGGCGGCATGGAGTGTGAACCGGTTAGAGCGATAACACTCACCTCCAAGCAGCTAGATATAAGATGCTGTTATACCGAAGTTTGCCGTGTAAGCAGTTGTTGGCAGGGGCAGTAAGGGCAGTTTCTCTTTCGCTGGTGGCTGTCGCTCCGCCATGACTTCCACGCGCGTCCTCCTGACTGCGGCAGCCGGGCGCTGCGGCAGGTTAAGCGGTGAGGGGGGGGGGAGCTGTGATTGACACTCCATCAGACGCTCCTCTGGCTGTGATTGGTTGTTTTGACTCGTCCCGAATTATTCTTTCCAGATTGAAATACAGGCAGTATGCGGGACCAATTGAAGCAGTTTTTTTCACAGGTTACATATCACATGTACTGCTGTCTGGGCATAGGGACAGTTTTAGCCAATATGACAAAAAAGTGATTTTTAAAAACTTACAGACTTCAGCTTTAAAGGACCTCAGAACAAGTTCCAGAGTTTTGGCAGACATTTGCGAAATGTTGGAACTACGGTGTTTTGCAAACACATAAAATAAGAGGAAAGCAACACCATCTACCAGTGCAACTACACATGTCTTTTGTTATGAGGTTGAATATGTTCTTATTCGGAAATGTTAGAAATATTGAGGTTATATTGAAAGAAAAATCTTGCATTTTTAGCACAAAAAAAAGTGCTAGTAACAGACCACTTTCCATTCTCTGTTCTCTCATCAATGAGTCAATGGCTGCAGAGACTCAACAAAGTAAACAGGTGAATAAGAGCACACACATTGCACCAATTCACACGCCCAGATAATAAGACACGAATCACTCTCATGAACTGACTATTGAAGCCTTTAAAGGACAAAGAAGAAAACTAATTTTGCTGGGCAAATATAAGAGCACATACAGGAAAGAAAAAATATATTTCACATTCATTATTTTGCAATCCACCTTTAAATAGTATACGTAACCTTTTTATTTAATTTCAGAACTTATTATCTTTAGTGTGGCCATGATAAACAGTGCACCTTTATCTGCTGTATTCCTTTTTTAATCCCACCTTCTTTTAAACACATACTGTAGGCGTAACGCAATATCTATTTAAAATCAATTAAAATCTTACTGTAAATCTGAAAAAGGACTCTGACTGGCCCAAACATTAATATGCTTTAATATGAACCATTTCTCTGTTCATTTGGCTGCCTGTTTCATTTCATTGACCTCCTGAAAGGTGAACCTATTGATTTTTGTTGGCACCCCTAAAAGTTTTCATCCAAGGTTGTCCATTGTTTTTAGCTTAATTTGTCCTCCCATCAACTTTTACCTGCTTCTTTTTGCAATGCTAAGAGGCCATAGGCAGGTTACACTACAGGGATGGTGTTTTTGTTTAACAGTTGATGAGCATTATTAGTTTTCCTTCACACTTGTTCTAAACATATCTGGTGGCAACCCTAAAGCACGACAACATTGCCTATTAGCACAACCTTTCATCTTGCCCTACTAGCATTAAATGCCTGATTTGCAGAGAGCTGTTTAATGCTTTGTAGGACACTGAGATAAATACTTTGAAAATCAACATTTTATTATAATATTATTCTTTATTTATTATTGGGGGGACAGGACAAGATCTTATTACTTCTGTAACATTTAAGAAATATTCATGGCAAAAATCAAGGTTAATATAATAATAAGAAACAGTCAGTTGCTCTAAAATGTTTTGTTAAAGCATAACCTAAAATAAATTATTAACCTTTAAACATTACTTTTTAACTTTTCAAATAGCTTTTAACTTTTTTACTTATTAACTTTTTTTTTTCCAACTCAATTTACTGTAGGTAACATATTACTGACAAAACACAGTAACTTGCCCTATAAGGGGTCACTACTTTGCTTACCTAATCTGTCAGTTTCGATTGATGGTTATGTCTTTGTAAATTTTAAGTTTTTCTTACCATTATCTAAGACACTAAAAGCTTTGGTGTTTGTTAAAATGTTTTCACCACAACCCCCAACCTTCCAGGGTGTTCCAGGTACCCTATGCTTCCTGGAGCCAGTTGTTTACTAATTAATTTGAACAGCAATCTAAGGCTTTCATAGAGCAACTGTATTCATAATGAAAATAATATACAGATTGGTAATGTCCACTTTACTTTTTATTATATCCCAAAAAATCTCTAAAGAATTTCTAATCATCTAAATGTTGTGTATTGTTTAACTCTTACACAAGGTTTTTCTGTTGTCTATTATAATGCTTACTATTTGGGTGATAAATCGTACATGTTTTAGGATGTTTCCTCACCAACAATCAAAGAGTTTGTCTACTTCTGCAAAATATTACATTCCTCCTATTTGGGAGAAATCTGCAGCACTCCTAACTTTATCAAACATTAGTAGGGTTGACTTGAATGGATTAATAGATGCAGGAATAAATCACCCTCATGCATAGGGTGGGCTGGGGGTAGGGGGGTTAAACACTCCACAACAGTGAGATCAACAAGAGTAACAGCAACAGCAGCAGCAACAAAACAACAGGATGCTAATAAAAAAACCTCTGCAGAATGGTGCCATCAGCTCTAGCATTTCTTTCTTCTCTTCTTTCCCTTTTCCCTCCTTCCCTTTCTCCTTCCTCTATCTCAATCCAGAAGACAGGAAGCTGTTTGTGGGAATGCTCGGCAAGCAACAGAGCGAGGACGATGTCCAGCGGCTGTTTGAGACCTTCGGCCAGATCGAGGAGTGCACCGTCCTTCGAGGGCCTGATGGGGCCAGTAAGGGTCAGAGACCTTACAGCTCCCGTTCTTTTCACTCCCCATGCCTGTGTTTCTTAATCTCTATCTATTTATCTTTATTTCTGCTTTTTGCATTTTCAGAACTATTGTCTTCCTGTACTGCATTTATCATCATTGTCTGTGATGTTGTCTGAATAACTCATCCTCCCTTTCAGCTACTGTTTTTTTGCACCGCCTTTTATGCGTCACACTTGCATTTCCCTCATATCTTGTTGTCATCATGCTCTGACACCTTCTTTCCCCCACTTTCTTTGCTTTACATTGTTTTCTATTTCATTTTCTCAATCCGTCCCTCACTCATTTATCTCTCTTTTGATATTTAAGTTTTCATCTTTCCTGTTTGTTGTCTCCTGATGACAGGGGATCGTCTAATTCTGGGCTTAACCTTGCATCCCTACACCATGTCTCTTACTGCTATCGAAAAATTTGGATAGTTTTAATCATGTTTGTTTCCAACATCCTCATCATCCTTCCCCAGAGACCATTGCTGGACAATATTTTCCAACTGTAAATAAAGACGGCTGTCTCTGAGCTTTACCACTGTCCCTCACTGCTTAGCTTGTGTGCTCTTGTCTGTGGCTTACATTGTATTTAGTTAGGGGAGTATAGTCAAATAAAAGGTAGATTGATGGCAATAATCTGAAAATTGAAAAGGATATTCGTTTCATGGCTCTCTGGTCGAGTCTCAGGGAGACCTAATCCATCCCCATCTAGTGTTATGTCGCTTCAGAGCACACAATAACTTCAGTAGCTATAGATTTAATTGCTCACAACTGATCAATAATTTTATGCTTTTTGGGATCAGATACTATAATATTATGATTATCATATTTGTGTTTCTTTTATCAATATTAACTCAAAAACTACTATTTTAAGAGTTCTTTGGTAATTATGTGTATTTATGTGAATATTGGTCTGACGTCAAAGTTAAAAGTCGAAGAGGATGTTCAGTTGCTGCTTCATTTCTCCTCTCGTCTCTCTAGAGCTGCAAACCCACTTCCACAAAAATCTGACGCAAAACCACACAAGCACACAAAAAAATGTTTCCATCTGTTAGGTTAGCCCACTTGAACATCTTCCTTATGGGTACGCCTAAAGCTGCAATGAGTAACGTTCTGCGACATTTAATGGTCAGACTGCAGACTGCAATGAAATGAACCGCTCCCCCATCCGTTTCCACCTCCAAAAATACAGGCCTAGTGGTACAAAATTTCTTCCTCAAAGTCAGCATCAGCTATCTTATCAAGTGATGATTAGATTTGTTTACATAGAAATTTCATTAATAGTATTTTATTAGTCTATGTAACATATAGATTTTATAAAGGCCTAACATGCCGCAGTCACATTCTAGCATAAGGGCAATCTTTACAGTTGGCAGTTGGTCAGATCTGCCCTGCTGTAATGCAAAGATGTCTCTTTATATGGAAGACCCACACCTATGTCATTATATAGAGCAATTTCTAAAGAAAGTCATACATTCAGATTGAGACTTGCATTTTGTAGATGATAATAAATGACATACTTATAATACATTACATTTCGATCAGTAAATGCCTGTTATTATTACACACTGAAACTTTAAGTTTAGACAAAAGTGAGCATGCGAATGACCACAGACACTACAGTTGCCTTCACCTTCCAGGCTTTCACTAGTTCTTCCCTGAGCCTTTGATATTTCTCCAGTCTTTCAATTTTTTTTGCCTGAAGATTCCATCATTTGGGATGACGACATCCATCACTACAGCTGTCCTCTGCTGTTTGTTAATAAGCAGAATATCCATTCGGTTGGCCACCAACATTGTATCTGGAAGCCCCACAGGATCTTTGCTAAATCATTCTCCGCCTATATATATATATATATATATATATATATATATATATATATATATATATATATATATATATATATATATATATATATATATATATATATATATATATATATATATATATATATATTTACACTGACAATTTAGTCAATAACAACACCATGCTGACAGGACACAGATTAAACATAGGGTTTTTCATGATAAGTTGATGAAGTTATAAGATGTACTTTCTTGCCTTAAATATGTTGAAACTAATTTTCTGACTTTAGGTATGAAAAACAAAGGTGGAACAAAGAAACAAAGCACCACAGCCATACACAAGCCCACCCTTCAACAAGCTCTGGAACTAAAGCCCTGGGATAGTGAAATCACCCAGGCGAATGTGTATGTAAAGGCCCCAGAATATAAATGGAAAAAGGGGCTAATATTAATATTGGGTCCTAACAAAGACTGCCTGTGTGTAAATTACCACTGAACCATGTTTTCTACCCAAACATTTGTACTTGTTATCTTTCAGTGAAAATATACAAAAAAAGGCTTTCTAAAACTAATAAAAACCTTCATACACAACAATGAATGATATGGATCTGAACCTCTACTATTTTTTCCGGACTGTAACTGAGATGAATTTAGGTAGGTGCAGCTTTTGAACATTTTGGAAGGTTAGTGACAGGAGTTGATCATTTGGGATGTTGCCAATTCTAGAGAAAGCATGATTATACTGAACCACAGACCAGTATAGGTGCCCACATCTGTTCATTTCATTGCAAATCCAAGGTCTGTTGCTCTCTGTAGCCACTCCAGCTCACCAATTTAATTTTTTTGCTCCATGACTTGTTTGTGTGTTTGCTGTATTTCTCCTTTTTCACTCTCCTTTCTCCTTGCCTGTTTAGATGCCTTAAACTGATTGACAGCATGTAAACTTAAATTAAGCCCAGGCGACTATGTCAGACAGGAACTAGTTTTCCACCTTGTTTGTGCTTTCACTCATTTTCGCCTTCCTTCACCCGACACGTTTCGACTCTTCCTTTCTATTTCCTCATGTGCCATGTTTTTCCTGGTTTGCTTGTTATCACTTGATTAATCCTGCTTTTTTGAATGTTATCATTAAGAAATGAGTTAGGAAAAAAGACTCACTATTAACCATAAATGCCAGAACTGCTCCAACATTGCATGTATACTGTACGTATCCCTGTGCAAAAAGTCCAATGCAATCATTACTGGATGTTACGGCAAATTATTTTGCAGTCGCCTCACTCAGGATGAGGTTCCCATAATTTGAATGAGACAGACCCTGAAATTGACAGCGCTATCTGTACCATGACTGAAGCTTTGTCCCTGTTGATGTAAATTTATGCTACTCAGAGGCTTTTCAGTACCCCTCTTCAACCAGTAAAAAGGCCGAGAAGTTTAACATCCATCTCTGCTCCTCAAAGTACTTTCAAAGTGCAACACTTGCTGCCAGAGTTGAATAGAGCCCTGAATTGTCAGCAATAATAGAGAGATGGCTTTTAGGTCTATAATTAAGTTGTGTTATAAATGTCAGCCATCCAGAGGGATGGAATTCATGCATACATATTATTACCTCTGGAATTCAAAAGCCACCACAGAACCTATCGCTTGAAAGTAATACAAATTCCCTTTTTTTGTCTTTTTTTTCTTTCCAAACATACTCTGAAAAATAATAAACTTAAATGTGCACTATTATTTACAAAGGGATTGCACATTTAGTTCTTTTGAAATATTGTTCTCTTTGCCCACTAACATTATTTATTAAAGCAGAAAAGCAGAAAATGCATACCATAGTAGTGTTATTTTATGAAAAAATGGAGGACTATGAATATGTACAACATGATACTCACTTTATAGAGTTATCCAAGTCCTGAAGTTCTGTTTGGACTCAGTTGCTGTCAATATTGGAACTGCAATACAATACATATTGGCCTTGTAAAGAAACCAACAGCCAAGTTACTTTTCCTTTAAAAGCATCAAATGTTCTTTTTTATTTTTTAGCTAAATCAAATCCCCATTTTATCTTTCCTGCAAAGGTTAAATGTGTTTGTTGGAGATGGTCTTCAAAGGGAGCGTTAAAGTCAAATGGAACACAGTAGCCTGATGCATTTCAGTTGGACAAATGAAGACCTTTCCTGCCTCTACCCGGAGGGGTGTTCAAGTGAAGTAAAAAGGGTGCTGGAGTGCTGTGACAGAATCAAAGGCTTCTTTGACTCCTCTGTTTGCCTCTGTAGATCTCTACAGCTTTAAGGGCATTTTATGACACAGAAAACACATGGCCTTTAACACTCACCAATTTTCCACATGCAATCATTCAAAATGTTTAGAAAAAAAAAATATCATCCAATAAATGAATGCCTCCAGTTACTCTTGGATTTTATTACAAAATGAATTAATTGTGGTATTCTGTAATGCAAAAGCTGATCCCTGACATGGTATCTCAAGTAAATTCTCCTGATCCACCAAACAATAAGTTGAACAAAATAAAGTAGAGGTCTTTTTAGTTATGCAAAATACACATTTGATCACGTATGATGACAGTTAACAAGCATGGAATCATGTCATTTTCTTTGCAATAACTAAGGAGGATTTTTCATTTTTTGAGTAGAATTACTGCCACCTTTTTATTAATATTCTAAGGAAGGATGCATCTCTACATTCTGACCAACTGCCTAATCATGGAATCACAGCATATATTCATTCAGTGTTACTGCAAACTATGATCGGTGTGAATTATTCAAATGTCATCAACTTCTGTGGAGATCATTCAACGCCCGTTACCTTGTAGTCAACCACTTCTGTTCATCTGCTCCTCTAACTAAACAGCACATTTCAATCCTCCTAAAAACTGACCATTGTTTTTCCCTTTGAATAAACATTCTAGTAAGAGTCAGTTTGCGTAGAGTTAGTCAGAAAACTCAAAACAGTATCCCATTGTGCAAATATTGACCCAATAAAAAATGACAAACAAGCAAAGACAGTAATTGCTCTGGTTGTATTCGGTTAAGCTGGAGGGGTCAAATCAAATTGGACAGGAATCAAGATGTCCAAGACATCTAATGCCTTCTTTATAATCAAAATGATACAACAAAACATAAATAGTATATGTTAATAGATTTGATAGCATGGTAGGAGTCATAACAATTTGTTCTCTCTAAGATCAAAGCCATCTTGACAATGTGCCAACCTCTTTTTCTGTGCATACAGGCTGTGCCTTCGTCAAGTTCTCAAGCCACGCAGAAGCGCAAGCCGCCATCAACAGCTTGCATGGTGGACAAACTATGCCTGTAAGTATCATAATCTGTTCTAGCTCTGCATTATAGCCTTCCACTTTTTGCCCCAGTTAATACAAAGTCACTTAGCTGTGTGTGCTATTTTTTCAGTGCAGTTTTGAGAATAACAACACCAAAAACTAAAGCCTACAGTGCTTGTCTTTTATTGGAAAACAGATTTCCAATAGGTAAATCTTTCTCTGTGATGTTTTACACACATGCTGCCAACGCAGGATTATTAATATTATTTTTTCAATATGCAAAATAGATTTTGTCCTTCTTTGCATTTGGAAAGTCAAATATTTTGGAGAACAGAAACATTAAGACATGCAAAAATATAACAAATACCCACTACATTTACATATATATGGTCATACTAACTACTAAAACCCTTGTAAGCTAAGATTAATACATACTGTATTTTACCAATGTGTCATTCCTAGAGTCAATGTTTGTTATTGTAAAATACAGAACAGGAGGCTCTATATCTGTTGTGAATAACAGATATAGAGCTTTGTCCTTTTGGTGTATGGAGGACCAACTCTGCCATATTTAAAAATAAATACAGAAATAAATAAATAATGCATGATGAGGCATTTCTGCCTCATTATGCAAATGAGGAGTGCTGTGTCTTAGAGAGCAGAAGTTAACACTCTAAGACGCACCCCTCCTCATTTGCATAATGAGCCAGAAATGCATACAGAAATGTAAAATCGACAGAAATAAATAGCGGTGAAGAAATAAATAGGGTAAAAAAAATATAAAGGAAGAGTAAAACAGACATGCACATATATAAACACTTACAAAAATGAGTAATAAATAAATAAAGTTGAAGATTATAATGGACAATAAAGATATATACATTTATGTCTCACTGTATAATTTCATTTCTACCTACATTTGTTTGTTTATTTTATTTTTGGGGGCAATTGATTGTATGCTTATTTGTTTATTAAGCATTAATTTATTTATGTTTTTATTTTTAAATATGGCAGAGATAAACTGTTGATGAAGCTGTTTTACTGCAAAAAATCATCAAGATCAAATGCTAAAAAAGAGAGAATGTGTTTTGGTTGATACTGAGCATATCATTGATTCAATTTTGATTGTTTTCATATTAATAAGAACAATTATAATAATTGAACTTTATTAATCTCACACTGGAGAAATTCACCTCTGCATTTAACCCATCCCCTTGGGGAGCAGTGGGCTGCCACTGTGCGTCGCCTGGGTAGCAGCGTGGGGTTAAGGGGCCTGCTCAGAGACCTAGAGTGGCAGTCTGTGGGAGTGGGGCTTGAACTCAGAACCTCTGGGAGCCAAGCGCAATGCCCTACCCAGTAGATCTTCACTCCCCAGGTGTTAAATTTCAACATAATTCCTTTTGACTGGCTATTTCGCTATTCGCTACATCGCAGTAATATATTTAATTTGTAGTACGAAAAAACAGTGGCAGGTGTAGTTTATTTGTGGCAAATTGCTACATTTTTACTGGGTTCATTTTCTTCAGAACATTATTGATCATTTTCAGTATTTAGGGATTTTATTTGTGGAAGATTTCTGTAAGGGGAAATGAGCAATCTTTAGCTTTGATCAATCCTAATCATCTGCAGACAACTCACATTTCACAAGGTATATAGTTTAATCAAAATTTTATCTAAATATAATTTTGATTTTTTTCATTGTATTTATTTTTTTGTAAAACTCAAATGACTGAATAAAGCACTTATAAAACAAACAACAACAACAAAAAACAGTAAAAGATTTATTATAAGTGGTGTTATTTCAACCAGGTGAAATGCATGGAGAAAAAGCAGTAAAATAAAAAGTCCTGAACAATGCTCTCCATCATGACAATACACATTCTGTAGATTTATGTATATAAGTCTTGATTTAATCAGTAACAAATTTACCAGGATCCAAAAACTGCTTTTTGATAAAAATATGATTAATCACAATTAACTAAATTTCCCTTTTGGGATTTATAAAGTATTTTTAATTTAAATTAATTAATTACAAAGCCTCACTTCATTATTTTTCAATCACATACCATCACTAATTTATGTTTACTGTTAAATTTTAAAATGTATATAGGCGAGGTAAATAAAAACTTGCTTTTAATCAAGTAAAAAAAGAAACTCTCTTTAACTGAAGTGAAAAACTGAAATATACTATAATAATAAGTACTTCCCTTTTAAACACTGTACTGTAACAGTAGTGAAAAGGTTTTGCATTACTATGAATAAGTAATGTTTGCTGTGCAAGTGCCCAAATTACTTTACTTTAATTTCCTTGTACTTAAACAGCATTAAGTTTTTTTTTAACATTTAGAGAGTTGTTTTGTTTTGTACATTTTGGACAGCTCACCTCTTACAAGCGGTTTATAATGGTGTACTATATTGGTTTTCCTTGTTTTTAATAATACCAGTCCCCCAAGTAAAACATGAACTTCACTGAATAGTCTTTACAGTCTTTAGAACATGCTTTACTGTGGTATAACCATCTAAATAGCAAGGCAGTGTACAAACTGGTCAAATAATAATAATTGAACTTGTTTAATCTCACTCTGGAGAAATTTACCTCTGCATTAAATCCATACCCTTGGGGAGCAGTGGGCTGCCACTGTACAGCTCTCAGGGAGCACTGCTCTAACCACTAGGCCAAGACTCCCCACATAACAATATCCTAAACTTGAAAGATGTTTTTTCTAAATGGTTGGAGAGACTGGCGGCAGAGGTGTGCTGCATCCTCACTTCTGTCAGTGAGTCCCAGGGCAGCTGTAGCTACAATGTAGTTTGCCACCATCAGTGTCTGAGTGTGCATGAATGGGTGAATGAATGAATAACTGAATGTAGTATAAAGCACTTTGGTCAAGTCCTCTGACTTGAAAAAGTGCTTTATAAGTACAGGCAATTTACCATTTACCAAATGTAGCACTATACTCTATAAGTACATCCTAATAATAAAATACTGCATGGGTCACTTTTACACAGATTGTTGTTTTTGCTCCAGGTGTTCAACATGTAGGTCATTTTTGCTTAATGACACCTATGTCAGAAATTGTTCCAAAACAATCTCAATGTCAATACCAATGTTGCTATTGCAAAGATGCTGTTAGCTCTCTTTTAGACTGGTAATCCAGGGTATATGATAGGCTGTATTTCGGCTATATGATAATGTGTGTTATTTTATTTTATTACATTTATTTAATTTCTAGTTTTTTGTGTATTGTTTTGGGGTAATTAAATTCTACTTGCAGTTCTCCATATATTTAATAATCATAGTAAAGGGTTATTAAAAAGCAACAGTGCATGTTCTCATTTTATGAAAAAATGTGATTCATTCGAAATTTTGGAAGAAATTATATAAAGAATAAAGTAAAACCTAAATGAGACTTTATGGCTTTAGATTTAGCTACTGCACTTTAGTGTTTAAAGATGTAATGAAGCTGCAAAATAAGGCTTAATTAAGAAAATTTCTTTGTAGCCTTACATTGTCTAGACATTGGATTTCATAGGTTTGTTGTTTTTCGAATGCAGCCTTTGCAAAAGAGTTTTGATGTTCATTAGTTTTGCATATTATTATTACACATAAAATACTTTAATCTACGAGCATCTTATGGCCTTTCCGGCCTTGCCTGGTACTGGTTGAAAGAGAGGGCCCAATGCACCCAATAGTATGGCAGCTCTGCTTCTGTCAGTCTGCTCCAGGACAGCTGTGGCTAAAATTTAGCTTACCTGCATGAATGAATAAGTAAATGTAAAGTCCTATGGAGTCCTTGGTGTTACGAAAAGCACTATACAAAGGCAGGATATTTTAGCTATGTGTTCTTTCCGCATTTAGAACAACCCACACAGCCTCTCTACTAATTATAAAAACATCTGACTAGTTTTTAGATGGGTTTCTATATTCTGAGAGTTATGAACCAAACAAAATTATGTAACAAATACATGATCAAAATCAGCTGAATGGTATTATAGGTTCATATTTGGACCTGAGGCTGCACAGTGGTACAGTAGGTAGCACAGTTGCCTTGTAGCAAGAAGGTTCCTGGTTGATTTCTGGCCTGAGGCCTTTTTGCATAGAATTTGCATGTTCTCCCTGAGCATTCTTGGGTTCTCTCTTGGTCCACCTACCTCATCCCACAGTTCAAATATGACTGTTAGGTTAATTGGCTTCTCTAAATTGTTCTTAGTGTGAACGTGTGTGTGCATGGTAGTCAAGGGCGTAGGTTTGATTTGAACTTTGGTAGGGACACTATTGGTCGGGTGTTATTGGTGCTATGCAATTTGCATGCCCTTTTTTATGCTCGAAGTGAGCATCTGTACTGATGGAATTTATTGTTAAAAGAGAAAAGCATCATTTTGCTACATAAATAAAAAAAAAATTAAGCACTACACTCATTAGATGCTGTTTATCAATGTTTGAAGTATCACCGGCTCTGATCAATGTGGGATTAGGACTTTTTTCCACTTTGAAAATGGTTTCATTTGAACCACTAAGAGAGAAGGTAAATACAGTATTTTCTTTTGAAGATGTAGAATTGTGCAGAGTTAAACCCCACTCTTATATTTTACCTACTATGCTCTCTCTGTATCAAGTAAAATAATACATTCATTAAGATATTAACTTCACTATAAAAGTTAAACATCTGGGCTGTAGTTACTCTTTGTAGCCCAATTCATGTATTATATCTGGGGCTGAAAAAATGAATCGTATTAATTGATTATTTCAATAATCGTCAACTAATTTAGTATGTAATTTATCTAATTAACTGGAGAATAGAGACTCTAAAACATACAGTAATATAAATGTAAAATGTGTGCTGCTTCACCTACAAGCTGCTCAGCTTTTATATTACTGGATATCTGTCTTTCCTATCATATAATGTATAAGTGCGTTTTTTAATAGTAAAGGATTAAATGTAACATAACCTTTCATCATCATCCTATATTGCTACTGTCTGACTGTTTAAATAGCTCCTTATATCTATTTAATTTTTTTTGTGACATCTTCTA